ATTTTTGATAATTTTGAAGAAAATATTCCATTTTTGGAAGAAATCAGGTGTCAGCAACTGGACGTTTACAATGGGGCAAATATATATTTTTGCGTATATAAAGAGAAATAATAGACCGATTTCATTGAAATTTAATCCTTGAATTCCTCGTATTAAAACAATGAACATATAAATTTTTTGGAAAGATAAGAGCTTGAAAACTGATTTGCGGGCCGATTTTACATTTTACACCATTTTGAAGAAAATATTCAACCGATGTACTTGAAATTACATATTTGAGCTTTGCTCAACCGTTCGTGAAAATTCCTAGCTTTTGGGACAAATCAGAAATCAGCAACTGGACGTTTACTACCGGCCAAATATACATTTTTGCGTATATAAAGAGAAATAATTGAACGATTTCATTGAAATTTAATACTTGAATTCCTCGTATTAAAATAATGAACATAAAAATTTTTTGGAAAGATCAGGGCTTGAAAACTGATTTGCGGGCCGATTTTACATTTTACACCATTTTGAAGAAAATATTCAACCGATTTACTTGAAATTACATATTTGAGCTTTGCTCAACCGTTCGTGAAAATTCCTAGCTTTTGGGACAAATCAGGAATCAGCAACTGGACGTTTACTACCGGCCAAATATACATTTTTGCGTATATAAAGAGAAATAATTGACCGATTTCATTGAAATTTAATATTTGAATTCTTCGTATTAAAATAATGAACATATAAATTTTTTGGAAAGATCAGGACTCGGAAACTGATCTGAGGGCCAATTTTACATTTTTTACCATATCTACGGATCGAATTGATGGAATATCTTGAAATGTAATATTTGAGTTCTGGTTATTACCAGAAGCTACTGATGAACTTTTCGTACAATTCGGACAGCACAAAAAGAAACCCCAATAAGTGCCAAATTCACATTATTCTAGGTATGTTAACTAAGAGCTTATTAGTTTACTTAAAATTGTGAAGAAGTGTTACAAACGCATTTTTATAATCTTCTGGAATACCTTTACTAATATAGACAATATACATTGCGATCGGTTATGTGCTGGCCACATCGGATTTTTTTTTTGCCTCTACTATAAAATATGTGTAATTTGTAATAAAGATAAGTTAAATTTTATTTTTAAAGTAAAAATTAAAAAATATTTTCAAATATTTTTTTGTTTAAAATATCTATAAAAAAAATCAAATTTAAACAAAGCTCGTTAATTCTTTTTTCTCTTTGAATAAATTTAAGTTTTAAATTGAAATTAAATATACATACATACATATTTTTGTATTACAATATTTTACTGCTCTTAAAAATATAAAATTATGTAACACCTAGAATTTCAATTTCAACGCAGAAGCATAACAGAGAACACAAAACAGTACGAAATCAATAGTTTTTTTTTTATAAGAATAAGCAATAATTTATATTATATTTACATACCAATGCCATATAGCGTGTGATTCAGTTAAGAGAATGTCTAAAATTTTTGTTGACAACTAGGTGTTAACAAAAATTTTCAAGATACAGGAATATAGATAGAAGATAGATTTAAGAAAAACATAAAAAACAGATCTTATAAAATTAGGGAAAATATATTTATTACATTAAAACCTATTTTTATATGAAAATCTTAGTTTTAAATACATAATAATTTATTCCTTAGGGAAAAAAGTTTATATCATCGGGATGAAAACTAAACTCTTCTAAGTATGAGAAACAAATAAAAATTAAACCACATGGGTTAAACATTTTGCAAAAAATATTATTCTAGTTACATGCTATAAAAACATATTCCAGTTATTAATGCTAAAACGTTCTTTTAGCTGTGTATTTCAATAGGCGTTATCGAAAGGTTGATGGATGCAATTCTAATGACTCCCAATTTCTTCGAAAAAGGAGAAAAATTTGTAAATTTGACTTGTAAAGTTACACATTGGACTATAACTACGATTTAATCAAATGTGAGCATCATCCACACATAAGTGAAGAGTATTACAGAGTTCAGATTCTCACGTCAGACTTTTGGCAGAAATGTGTCAAATATTTAACATATCAGCTGGTCGTAGAAAAACTTTTTAAAAATTTATTTTCTTATTGACATTTTTTTTTTCTCTTTTTTGACCTATTTCCTCAATAACCTCACATGACACAGCTTTTTTAAAATAAAAAGCTACTTTTCAACTTTCTATTGCATCTTAATTTTTTTTATTATACCCGTACGAACGTATGTTCGAAGGGTATAATAAATTTGCCTTACCGTTTGTAACGCTAAGAAATAACGGTGTTAGATATAGACTCAAGTGTATGTTTTTGATCAGCGTCAAATTCTGAGTTGATTTAGATTTGTCTGTCCGTCCGTCCGTCCGCCCGTCCGTCCGAACGATAACTCAAAAACTAATTGAGCTAAGTTCACCAAATTTTCACAAATGATTTATTGTAGTAAGTGCCAGAACCCTATTTAAATTGGACATGATCGGGGTACCGGATCGGGTAGCTGCCATACAACTTCAATATTTATTTGTCTATATCTCAGAAACTATAAAAGCTGTGGTATTGAAATTTCACACAAACGAATATATTAGTAGAGCCAATGTGCCTCATAAAAGTCGTTGAAATTACTTAGCTCTTTCTGGCACCTGCCATACAACTTCAAAAGTTATTTGAATATATTTCAGAAACTATGAAAGCTATGGTATTGAAATTTCACACAAACGAATATATTAGTAGAGCCAATGTGTCTCATAAAAGTCGTTGAAATTACTTGGCTCATTCTGGTACCTGCCATACAACTTCAAAAGTTATTTGGCTATATCTCAGAAACTATAAAAGCTGTGATATTGAGATTTCACACAAGTGAATATATTAGTAGGGCCGATGTGCTTGATAAAATTCGCCAAAATATCCTGGCTCTTTCTGGTAGCAGCCATACAACTTCAATAGTACTTTGGCACAACCAGTATTTTGAAAAACACATAATACTGAAATTTTGCATAAATTAATATGGTAATTTTGCATTTATAGGATAACAAATTCGTACTGGTATCACAGAGTTGACAAGGTCAACTCTATTTTTTTTTCTCGTTTTTTTTTTAAATTTAAAATCTAACAAGTACCTATGCTAATAGAGAAACTTGAAAGCACGATCCTATTTTATATAGGTTTTTTAAATCGTAATTGTGGATATTTTTTGAGAAGAAATAACAAAATAAAGCAGGTAAAGTTCCGAAAATATATTTAAAAAACCAATTATATACGAGTATAATAATATTTTCATTCACAATTTTTATAAATTCTTGATATGCATGCGAAATTCTTGAAATGCATGCAAAAAACAGAAAAACTACAAGCACAACCTTCGCCTTGAATATTTGGTACTGAAAGCATTTCATTATTTTTAAGTGAACAGTGAATTTTTAAGTTATTTTTTTTCTCATAGGATAAGTTAACTCAAGATATGGGAAGTAACTGTAGAGTCAAGTTGAAAATATAACAAGTAAAAGCGTTCAGTCCGACTGAATTAAATAATTCCAAATTTTGCAAAAGTAGTTTGTTGAATCCACTACCGCGGCATACCATTCTTGAACTTTAAAAAAATAAAATAGCCGCTAAAATTTACCGTTATCTGAAGTTCGTTTTATCCAAATTTTTGATGCCGTTGTTCTCCACCCCCTCTCAAGTTATTGCCTCTCAAAATTTGTAAAATTTGAATATTTGGCGCTTTATATTTCCGAAACCGCAAGCTTTTTCAAATTTCTACAAAAACAAAAAGCTAACGGTAAATTCCATAACATTAACAAATTTAATTATTTTTGTTAACTCACACAATTAAACCTTAAAATCGAGCATTATATTAAATTTTCTTGCTTTATTTCAAAGACTGCATAAAACGTTCATCCTAAATATATGTAATGTCCTAGAAATAGTTTCGTATATGAATGAAAATAATAATTATAGGTACACATGTTTGCACCTCATTTAAATTTAAATTTGAAGATGATTTTCCTTGTTTCAACAATCTTTTCGAAATTTCAATATTATTTAAATAATAAACAGACAACAAAATTCCATATTAAAGTACATAATACAAACCTTTTAAGTTTAGCTGCATTTTCTATGTGAAAGACAAAATTGCTTTCTCTCTACCTTTCGCTAGAGGAGCAACCTCTACTGTATTTTTACTAACTTGAACTTCATTTTGATAAGACATTACACACAAATCAACAAACACTAATAAAACATCAATAAGCCACACTTCTTTTCTTAATTACAAAAAAACTGATTACCAAAAATTAAAAAACAGTATAAAAAACTGGTGTTCTATTTTATTCAACTTCATGAAACTTATTTAAAGCATCTTTGCATAAAAAAATTAGTTTTGATAAAATTTCCTGCGGAATGCTTTTGGTAAGAGTCCACTAAAATCCAGTTTAAATCCAGAAGTGTCTGATTCAGAATGGACGGCTGTCTGATCTGCGACTGATCCCTGAGGGGCGCAGAAACTGGACGCGCTGCTTTGCACGAGGCATTTGTTGCCAAAGGCTATAAGTTTTTATAAAAAAATATTTTATTTTTAACACTTATTGTTAATTATAACATAATATTTACAAACTGCACTAATTTTATAAATAAAATAACAAAATCTTCCTTGTTTACTTTTTTTATGGCGGCGCGTTATTTTCTAAGAAAAAAAAACATTTGGCATTTAATGTCAATTTCAGTTTGACAACGCTCGGAGCAAAGGAAGAGATTTACCTGAAGTTTTTGGCTTCACTACGTTTTTTTGAAAAATACGATTTTTTAGGGAGTTTCAAATATTCATTTTCAGTCTGAGGAACGTGTATCTTTTCATAAAATTGTCTAACCTTTCTGCTTACGAGAGATTACATCACGTTATAGATTCCAAAACACCAAAATACCCGTTGTCTTCTTTCACAGTGAAAAATTATGTTTTATGTTACGTATAAGCAAAATGAAAACCATTTGAAGGTATTTTTAATTATTATGATTTATTTTAAGAATATTTTTTTTAAACAGCTATTAGCAATTTCTTTTCGTGTTTTAGTATGAATGATTTACATTGTTTTTTAAAATCCTACTTCTTAATAACTTTTAAACAGCTAAGAATCATAAGACTTTCGTTTCAAAATGTGATTTTTTTTTTAATAAAATTTTCACTTAACAGTAGGTAATATCTATAATTATGACTTTTCTATTTTTGATACGTTCTACAGTTTGCAATATTTTACAAATTTAGTGAGCTGAGTTGATTGAGTTATACAATATTTTACAAAAAATTTTAATTTTCAATCATTTTATGATAAATATTTGACATTTTAAAATATACATACGTGTATATATGACTATGTATACATACTTACATTATTCAACATTTTATGTTGGACTGAACTCTAGAAAGAACATTTTTAAACATTTTTAATAATTTCTTTGATCTTAATTTTATCCAAATCTAAATTAAATTTCGATACAATTATTTAATATGAGATACAAATGCATATGCATATATTTATGACATTTATTTATATATATATATGTACACAGAACAGTCTAAAATAAGTATGATATTCATTATAATACATTTAATCATTAATTTATTTAATTGTTCTGGTATAAGAAAGTTGAAAAACTTTACAAAACTTGAAAAAAAAATTTACAAAATTTTTCTATGTAAAGCGTTTGGTATATTACCTTTTTGAACACAAATGAAAGAAAATAATGACGTTTTCATTTTCTCAATGTTTAAAGTTTTTTCAAGTTTTATAAAGCAAAATTTAGTGTTTTAAAATGTTAGAGCTGTCAAAGTATATGTTTTTATTGATATAATGTGAGAAGGATTTATTTTTCATCCACAATAATTTTTTTTTCCAAAATTTTTTGATTAAAAATAAAATAAAATGTTTAGTATATACATAGTTAATAATAGTTTTTCTAAGTTCCACTCTTTTACAATACAAAATCAAAATTTTGGGTTTTTTAGTAACCTACAAATATTTGTTTATGTTTGATAAATATTTTAAAATTTGACGTTTGTCTTTTTATTTTAAATATTTTAAATTTTGATGTTTGGTTTACTATTTTTTGAATCTTCAGACAATATATTGTGTACAGCGTTCCCAATTAGATACAATTGTATCCATATGGATACATTTTTACTTTAAATTTGAGCTAAGCTCAAATATAAAATACAAAGATACTCAAATCTGCTAAAATGCCGAGATTGGCTATTTTTTATTTTATTCAATGTTTAAACTCAGCTCGCAATGAGTGTATTGCGAGCTGAGTTTCGTAATGAGTGTATTGCGAGCTGAGTTTCGCAATGAGTGTATTGCGAGTTGTATTCAATGTAAGACCGTCAGCTCGCAAAGAGTGTTTACATTGTCCTACATTTATATAAAGTTAAATAAGATAAAGAAATTTAGTTATGAAAATTCAAAGTAAAGAGCAAGTTAATTAACTAAAAACTAATTTTTTTAAGAAGTATTATAATTTATAAATTACATTTTATTTATTTAAAATTAAAAAGTTTTCTTGTTTTTTATTTAAATTTACTCGTTAAGTTGTGTAGTGACGCATGATTTTTAAAGTTTAAAATTAAAATTGAAATATGTATGTATATTAGGTACTAATTTTTAAGAAATTTTTTAGTTCTTTTTTAAATGATTCAATATTCTGCTCTGACTTAACTCTGGATGGTATTTGATTATATTCTTTAACGCACTCGCTATATAAGTATGTTGTTACCTCTTTTTGTTCTGAAATCACCTGCGTTAGTAATTTTGTACTTCAGTTCCTTGGTATAGAATAGAATTACTTATTACATGTTTGTTGATTATTTTAAATATGTGAATAACTTGTAAAAGTGTTGCTGAATGATATTTATTATATTAAAATCATTATATAAGTTACAAGTTGGCGTTCTAGCTTCTAAATTGTATAAGTTTTTAGTTGCCTTGCTTTGCAAAGAAATATAGATACATTTGTTTCTCAAACACTGAATAAATATTACAAAACAGTTAAAATGCTGCTAATATTAAATCGCGAATTAGAGCTTTTTAGAAGAAAGCAAGAAAGATACTTTATTAAATGAATACTGTCTCTTCCTGTATTCACATCTAGAACATTTAGACAAGAACGTGCCAGAAATATTTTGGTGTAAGTTAATTGTAATAGAAAATGAATTTGCTGTACATATTTTTTAAAATTTGTCCGTTTTCATGATGAATCGTCGTTACCGCATAGTTCAATAACAATAGAACATGTATATATTTTCTGACCTTAAAGTTTACATTTAAAATGTAATAGAAGTTGCATGTGATTTCTTAAAGAATTCACTATAAATAACAAAACTCATATTGTGGAATAAATCAAATTAATATTAATAACGGGTTAATTTGTACAAAATAAGATGACTTAGTATAATAATTCTATTTTTAGAGGCTGGATACATTTTATTTTTAGCGAGTGAAAACACTGAATATGTATGTGAGATAATTGAGAATAAAAAATTATAATGCACTGAATAAAAAAATGAGAGTAAAAAATTATAACGTACTGAATAAAAAAATTTAGCGCTAGACTCTTTAGAAAAATAAAGTTAATAAAATTTTTATTAGATATTAATTTAGAATTTAAGCTTCTAATTATTTGATTTTAATTTTTATAATTATTATATTGCTTTTATAATTTTATGATCATTATAAAAAATGTGTCATTTCAAGTTGTGCCTTATATAAACACGAACATTGTAAATATATAATAATAAAGAAACTTATGTAAGCTTTAAAAGTTGCTGGTGCGGTAGTTTAGGTAAATCACTGATTTAGGTTTACTAACAGTGTGAAAATATTTTTCTAATAAAACTAAAATCGTACATATCTAAAAAGAATTATGTGGGTTTTTAATATAAAAAGAATACACATTATATTCAATAATTTTTATGAATTATGAAGCATGTACATTTTCGCAAATTTGAAGAAATACACAAAAATACGTCTTAATTCACCATCTGTGAGATGCCACGCTTTACAACAGTTAATGGCGGTTAAAAGCGAAAAACTTTAATACATATGTAATTTAGAACTTATTGACGTCTCTTTTGGTTCACAAATTTTTAGGAAATTCTGCTCAAGATAAATTCCTATAAAAAAGAATTTGAGCAAGCTTTATTCTCAATTTTTCGAAACTATAGAAAAAAAATAATAATTAGTATAATATAATAATAAAATATAATACTTTACAAGGAAATATATTCTTGGACCAGGGCTGACATAAATTAAATTTTAAAAAATGGTACAGAAAACCTAAAATCATGGTACCACAGACAAAAAAAATTATACATTTTTAATAAACCAAAATAAATCAAATAAAGCTAAGTTAAAATTTTGAAGTTTTATTATTTTTATGTATTATTATTTAAAATTTAAGAACTATTTAAATTTTTGGGACTTAAAAGAGAAATATCTATGCTTAAAATTAATTTAAAATTTTCAAAAACTTATTTTCAAATCTTAAGAATTAAAATTATGTTAAACTTGTTTTAATAATATTAAAAAATTAATTTAATATTATAGCTTGAGAAAAAAAATTTTTAATTTCAAACTTATACCTTTTAAGTTATACATATACACTCCCACATTCATACATATTTTATTGTTGTGTTTAGTATACAACATTCTTCTTTTGAAAAGAAAGATTTGAACTACAAATTACATTACAAGCACGAGTACATGTCATAGTAATGTAATAAATATTAGGTCTGTCCCAAATAAAACCTGAAAAACTTAAAAAAGAGGAACAATGACATAATTTCTCGCAAAAAGAAAAAAAATTTTAATTTAAAAAAAAAATAAACCAGAAGAAACTTGAAAAAACTTTTGAAAACTTTATAAAGATGTGATTAACGTTATGTTTCTAAGTATTTATCAAACCAAGTTATACTAAAAACCGAAATTATGATTTTGGATTACAAAAGTATCTAAAAAACTTAGAAAAAATCATTTGTCAATTCATTTTGTTTATATAATTTTTAATTGAAAAAATTTGAAATAAAAAAAAATCTGATGTGGTCATCACAGAAGCGACTGCAATGTGTGTTGTGTAAAAAATGTAAATTTGGCTCTTAGTAGAGTTTCGCTTTGTGCCATCCGAATTCTTTGAAATGTTCTGTCTCTGAATTCTCTGAAATTTAATTTGGCCCCTAGTTTGGTTTCCGAGCCCTGATCGTTCCAAAAAATTTATATGTTCATTGCTTTAACATCCCGAATTTAAATATTAACTTTCAAGGAAATTGGTTAATTATTTCTTTTTATATGGGCAAAAATGTAAAATTGGCCCGCAAAACAGTCCAGTTCCCAAAGCCTGATATATCCCAAAAGTAAATCAATCTGTGACATAGCCAAAACAAACTCATATATAAAATTTTATAAAAATCGGTTCAGTCGAACTTTATGCACGCGTATATACACACCAGACAGACCGACAAGCAGAAAGACCGACAGATGAACAGACCGACAGGTTGCTAAAAATAGGTTATATACACTTCCCTACCACGAAAACTCGACAAGCAAAATTTGCTGCCATGATATAACCTCTTTTATTGTATTAAAAGCTGTAAGTACTAAAAGAAGATGTTGTTACAAAAGTGATTTGAAACTTTAACGCAAAATAAAATTTATGTCATGAAGCAACGTTCTATATATTTATGTACATACTATAAATCTATATTACTGTATTTATAAACTTAATGCAGTACATAAAAAACAGGATAAAAGGAAAATATTAAATAATCGAGAAAGGAGGCCTTGCGGATATTCAACCTAAACAAAAGAAAATTCCCACAAAAGGAAGACACCATAGTTACTTTTGCCACGTCATCCTAATTTTAAGTAATTTTGCGCAACATATTGGTCTACTTTATGTGCTCAAAAGCTCTTTCACTGTTTATGCATGTGTGTGTATGTATACATATAAGTTATTTAAAATCACGATAAAATGTTTTAGTTAGGAAAATTTAAAAAATTTTTTTTTATTCTTCGTTTTGATAATGCATTCTAGTTTAAACAATATATTTAACTAATATTTATTCTACATTACATACGTATGTATCTACATTAATAATCGTATATTAATAAACTTGTTTACTGTTACATGTGTGTACGTAATAATTTTCAGTGATACTTGTATTTTTTCTCTAAATTATACCATTACTACGTTGTGATGATATCCATGCCATAGAATCTTTCCTGATCTGCGAAAAAAATTGTGTGCAATGTTGATTATTTTGTCATACATCACATAAATTCATCGCAATAAATTTGTTTTATGTAACATAAAAATAAAGAAAGAAACTTTTAATTAGAAAAAAATTTATAAACGTATTTAAAAATTAATCTAAAATTCCATGAAAGTAAACTCTTGTTTTAAAACTTTTCTTAAATTTATATGCATTATTACCTTTATAGTAAAAAATAAATTTATAGTTTGGGGATATTGTTAAAAAAATTGTAATATAAAAGTAGTGAAACAAATAAGATGCAATTCTATAGATTTCTATAGAATTATGGAAAAAACGGATAAATGAATTTTGCAATGAGGAATTGAAATTTGCAGAATGCTACATAAACAATCTTTCATTTTCGTAAAAAAGATTATTTAAAAACAAGTAAAAACGTTTCAGTCGTTATAAAACGATTGAACTATACCTTGCACCTTTCGTTGTTGTATAGCAATTACTCGAACCTGTGAAACCATTCTATTGAAACTTCACGGATATGTCTGACCTATAAATGGACACACAACTGCCAAGTTTCATTAATCTGGCTTTATTATTTTTCCAAATATTTAAAATAAGCTTTTAGACTTGTATGGGAGCTACTAGAACCTGTCAAGCAATTCCACCAAAACTTCAGGAATATATTTGACCTATAACTGGACAAACAACTGCCAAGTTTTATGAAACTGGCTTTATTATTTTTCCAAATACTTAAAAACAAATAAAAACGTTTCAGTCGTTATAAACCGATTGAATTATACCCTGCACCTTTCGTTGTTGTATAGCAATTACTCGAACCTGTGAAACCATTCTATTGAAACTTCACGGATATGTCTGACTTATAACTGGACACACAACTGCCAAGTTTCATTAATCTGGCTTTATTATTTTTCCAAATATTTAAAATAAGCTTTTAGACTTGTATGGGAGCTACTCGAACCTGACAAGCAATTCAACCAAAACTTCAGGAATATATCTAACCTATAATTGGACACACGACTGCCAAGTTTCAAAATTAAAAATTTTTTGTAAAATGGAAAAACAGGAACTGCAATATTTAGGCCCACAAAATACAAAGCCTATAAATATGTTTTTTTCATTTTAATGCTAATTTTTAAGTGTTCTCTCTGTATAAGTAATAATACTTGCCACTATGTCTGACTTATAACTGGACACACGACTGCCAAGTCTCATGAATATGACTTTATTATTTTTCCAAATATTTAAAATTAGGTTCTGGAGTTGTATGGCAGGTGACATACTCAAGCAGGTATAGAAATAAAGCAATTTATAAAGAAAAAAATTCGTATTACCGATGCCTGGGTATGCAAGTATAGTATATTCACAAGAAATATTTGTTTGAAATTTTTAAAGACAAGATTGAAATAAAAGCTAAAAATTCATAATTTATTTTTATATAAATAAATGTAATCACAATAATTATTAATTATTAAATTTTGAAATTTTTGTTGATATTATTTGTTTCTTTTATTTTTTTGATTATTTTTAAAAATTATACAGGGTGTTGGAGACTCAATGATATTCCCGAAGTAGAGTGATAGTATGTATGCAGACGAGCAAAAAATACCTAGTGACATTTTTCTTTCCGCGCCCTTGTTCTCGAGTAATGCCTCAAATTTAGAACATGCAAAAACCGTCTTATTTTCAAATTTTTATTTATAACTCGGGAAATACGAGTATAACACGTAAATCTAACTTTCTAGACTCATTTTAAAGCTAATGAAATCCTTATTCTAATGGTATGAGGTAATAATCTTAGCAGTTGCAAAGATTGTTTTAGTTTCAGAGAAATTCAAGTGCAAAGTCAAAATTTGTTGAACACTTTTTTTCTAAATTTTCGTTTAACCGTCATTTACTCATAATTCCACGTTATCAACCTATCATTTTTTACAGGAAGACAAGCCCTATATTCTGACCTTCATTTTGATATAACATAATGTGGGAAAAATTTTGGAAATAACATAACATATCTATCAGGCGAAATCTGAGGCCAAAACCTTAGAAAATTAACTAAAACAAAGTATTTTCAAACAAAAACAAATTTTTTTAATCTTTATTACGCAGTATTATGCATTATTAACATTTACTTTTTAGCACTTTTCCAAAAAAATTTTGAAAAAAGTGCTTATTAGTTTCACTCTGTCCGTCCGTCCTTCCGTCCGTCCGTCCGTCCGTCTGTCCGTGTGTCGGTTTACAAAACTTCTACACTCTTGAAGATATAAAGCTGAAATTTTACATGTACATAGATCTTTACTAGAAACTTATTTTCGTAGAACAAAATTATCTATCCCCCCCTCTCTAGAAGTTATATCCCCCATAATCCTAAAAATGACCTTTTTTAACTATTTCTTGCAATGAAACCATAAGCATTTTTGAAATTTTTTAAACGCAGAAAGGCAGTGGGTTGCTTCCCCTAGCGCGGTATACTATAGTTAAACTTTAAAAAAACAAAATGGCCGTTCAAATTTACCGTTATCTAAAGTCTTTTTTCCAAATTTTTGATTTCGTTTTTCTTCTTAACCCCAGCCTGTGGAAACTTGAAATTTAGGGGGTTTTAGACATTAACAAATAGTTCATATCGTTACAAGAAATTTTTTTTCCATCTCCACCCCCTCTCAAGTTATCACCTCTTGAAATTTGTAAAATTTGAATTTTTGACACTTTATATATCCGAAACCGCAAGCTTTTTCAAATTTCTATAAAGACAAAAAGCTAACGGTAAATTCTATGACCTTAAAAAATATAATTATTTTTCTTAACTCAAACAATTAATCCTTAAAATCTTGCATTATGTTAACCCCTCTTTATAATAATTTTTGCTTTATTTCAAAGACTGCATGTATGCATCATCCTAAATATATGCAATCCTAGAAATAATTTTGTATATAAATGAAAATAATTTTAATAGTGTGGTAAGTTTACAAAGACTGTATTTAAAAGCAGTTTCACTTGTTGAAGGGAAAAGTACTACAATACAAGCCATTGGTTTTACCCAACTTTATTCTTTTTCAAAATGAAAGACATTTTTATAACCTTTATTTCTCCACAAAATATTTCCAAAATTTTCAGAAATATCGTGTCTACGACGATCAAATTCATAAAAATAAACAAAAAAACGAGATTTTTCGCGATAAATTCGTTATAATCCAAGTAGTATTCACCCTCTGATCTTCTGTGTATTTTGATATTATTCTAAAAATTTAATTATTGATCTTCAGGTATAGTTAATGTGGAAAATTTTAATTTTCTTATTACTTACAAGAACGTTTTTTTGCAAGTAAACTTCTCTTTTTTATATATATATATCCTTATAATAATACTTTTAATGGTACTTTTAACTCATACTTTTAATATTCTTATTTATATGAAAGTAGAGTTAGTAAGTATTTTAGTATTCTTAATCAGAAAAAAAATTAAATACTTTTTATTATAACTAAGTACATTGGGCCCTATTGCTCCAGCCACTTATCGCTTTTGTCTAAATCAGTTTAAGTATCAAAAGAATTGCAAAATTTCTGTTGCATCAAGATTTAAAGCTCTAATGAACTTTACCTAAAAAAAAGTAATTTTAATTTTGATTCATATTATTAAAACTATTATTAAGGATGTGAAATAGAAGGGTTTCCGTGACTTCAATAATGTCTTATAAAAAAGTACAGTATTAATACGGTTGTAGTACCGTCTCAGAGCTTTCAATACCTTTACATTGTAAAAAAAAACTACTAAAGCTTTCGTACATTCTGGAATACAATTTTTACAATAATATTATTACATACTTTAACGTTTGTTTGAAAAGTTCAATTTAAAGTTCTGTTCAAATGTTGATTTTTAACAAACATTACCAAGTCATTAAAAACATTCCATTTTTATGCTGCATTTTAGGAAAAAACCTTAATAACTAGCACTTTATTGCTGAAAATAAATGCTGATTTATTTAATTAGTTATTTCTGGCAACGTGTATATGACATGTATAAGAAAATCGTGCTCGATTTTTTCGATACCCGATTTACATTTATTTTACGTATCCACTATATTTACGTATCCACGTATAGAACGCATTTTGGAAAAGTGTACAATGTTAAGAGCTTTTACTAAACTTTTTGAAATGTGATACTTTATAAAGTTTACGTCGTAAGCGCATTATTGAAGTCATGGTTTGTATAAATAGCATTTTAGTTAATTTTGATTAGTTTTGCTTTAATTACTTTAATTTCGCTCTCCTAATAAAAGTAATAAGAAAATTAAAATTTTCCACATTAACTATACCTGAAAATCAATAATTAAATTTTTAGAATAATATCAAAATTCACAGAAGATCGGAGGGTGAATACTACATGGATTATAATTAATCGCAAAAAATCTGATTTTTTTGTTTTTTTATAAATTTGATCCTCGTAGACACGATATTTCTGAAACTTTTGGAAATATTTTGTGAAAAAATAAAGGTAACACAAATGTCTTTCATTTTGGAAAAGAAAAAGTAAATATTAATAATGCATAATACAGCGTAATAAAGATTAAAAAAATTTGTTTTTGTTTGAAAAATACTTTGTTTTAGTTAAATTTCTAAGATTTTGGCCTCAGTTTTCGTCTGATAGATTTGTTATTTCTAAAAATTTTTCCACATTATGTTATATCAAAATGAAGGTCAGAATATAGGGCTCTTCTTCCTGTAAAAAAATTATAGGTTGATAACGTGGAATTATGAGTAAATGACGGTTAAACGAAAATTTAAAAAAAAAAAATTTAACAAATTTTGACTTTGCACTTGAATATCTCTGAAATTAAAAAAATCTTTGCAACCGTTGGTATACCATTAGAATGAGGATCTCATTAGCTTTAGAATGAGTATACAAAGTTATTTTTACCTCTCACATTTCCCGAGTTATAAATAAAAATGTGAAAATAAGACGGTTTTTGCATGTTCCAAATTTGAGGCTCCATAACTC